TCCGAGTCTACCAAAGATAAGATCAACCCCTGTGAATTGAGATGGTGACAGATAGACTTCAATGTGATCGCCTCTGACAAAATTGAATAAGACGAGTGGGCATATTGGACATCCGTGACAGATACTACTCGGTTTACGCAACTCGCCGTACCCTCTAATTTGTTCATAAGTAATCAAATAAAGAGTCTTCAACAGGTCACTACACCTAACCGCCACCTTCCACAAGACTTCTCGATCGGCAGAGTCAAAGGCCGCCTTTAGGTTGAAAAATTCAGTTAGTGGCAGGCACCAGTAGGCGTAGTTGTGTTTCACAACCTGACAGAGAGTGAGTATTTGGTTGCTACATTAACGATCAGGAGTGAAATCTGATTTGTTTTCTTTGGTTTGTTATACTCAGTATTCACTTAAACGTCTGGTGATTATAGAACTTAAAGTCTCAGACGCTATGTTCATCAGTTCGGTTCCTTCACGGTTAAAACAGGATGATTTCTGTCTTTTCTTGGAAACTGCAACAATCATTGACTGGGACCAGTCAGAAGAGATTCTGTTTGTTCCATATACAGTAGTTATGTTCAGTGAATGCAGTTGCACAGAACACGTTGAACGCTTTATCTGAATTGAAGGTTATACTTTGTGTCTTTTGAAACACCCGGTAATTTAAACCATCAACTAACGAAAAATCACCTCAGATTTGTCTCCATTACCGTTAGTGACCTATTTCATCAGTCAGTTATAAGGCGCAGAATCACTTATTCGAGTTTGTGGAAACACATAGTTGTTTCTTATGTATAAAATATTTCTTATAATAAGAAGTTATAGTTAACCAAAAGTATACTGCTGCAATAGGTTGAGTCACTGATTATCGTTGCACTGTAAAGAAGTTTCATATTACAGACAAATAAAGAAGGATCGGTCAAGTCTTCATCGAATCATTGATAACCTGGTAACACTAGACAGTTCGTCTTTATTATGTTGCCTAGAGTGATAATGAAAGTTTCACGATTCAATCATCAAGTTCAGAGTACGCAACGCCACCAAATTCATATTTATGTTAGTATAACATTTTGTTATGAGTTTTTAGCTAGCAATTCATATATAACAAACAAACAACTATATCCATTTGAATTATTTGTCAGATGAAACCAGTACATTGAGAAATTACACAACATTTCAGAATGTTGCATACAAGCGCATCATTTCTACTTGAAATATACCTCCTAATGACACACAAATAGAAAGAAGAATGATGTTGGGATACTTACTTACACAAGTATGAGAGGGACGAAAATAACTAAATGATGGTACATAAACTTTTCACAACTTCGAACATGATGACCCGTGTATTCACATAACATCCCATCGGTTCTCAGTGATACTGTCTACAATCACCAAATAATGATTACTATCATCACGAGAATCCAAACCACATAGCCTACGTCTCCACACACACACACTGACTGACAGACATAGACTGCATGGACTAGTCACATTCCTTGATGTGGTCACTCTCAGTGTTTTCCCAATCTGATCATACTTCAGCGAACGTGGCATGTTGGGATAAGTGATGACATGGTGTGTGTGCAAGACATATGGAAGTCATCTGAGTTGATGAGAGATGACTAGTTCATTGAGTGACTCGGTTCCCTTGCCTACTGTTGTACAACTAACCTCGAGACTGTTCATTTTGTGGTTGCAACAGAGGCGAGTCGAGCTACAGAGATATGTGTGGTAGGAATCATGTGTCTTCGTGATATCTTCTACTTCTAATGTTCATATCCAACAGGTATGTATCGGTTAAGTATACTTCGACAGCGTATACATGTATATTGGTAGTTGATCAGATGTATTGTGAGTGGTAGAATTATCACGGTTAGACAGCAGTTAGACCGATCCTATGTATGCCATCTGAGATCTTGTCAGTATTGAGTCCAATTCCTATCTTTTCAACAGGTGTTAATGATGCTCAGTTTTGACTGAGCATCTAAGAATAAAATGCTGTTAGCTACTTCTAGTTAACCTCTCCCTTCTTCTTTCTCTTAACACTATTCAAGGTTAGTTCCTTTTCCATTATGAAACAATTCGCATTTCATTTGTAAAACTATTCACCAGGAACAACTACGTGTATGCATAGATAACCTAAATTCGCACTGATTTACCTCACTGCAGTGATCGCCAATACTTAGGAGATGTATAGTTCAAGTGTGCAAGCATTTGGCATTGTGTAGTATGCTAGAATAAGAAATCACGGTTTACCCTCAATATCAAGACAATGTTTCACCAAATTAGTACTTTTAGAACAACTACGTTTTTTATTTGATAAATATATATGGATAGATTATCGATGACCAATTAATGTAAGTGTAAAACTTGGGCACTGTGGTAGAATTTAATTCCATATTAGATTTGTTTATTTGATTTGTAACACACAGTAAGTGGTCTAGTATTATTTACTTGATGACGTTTCAAGCATGAATTACTCTATTGCTCATAATCATATCAGTATGTAATCACACCACCTTCGACATTTGATCTTTATAGTTACGTCACCACATATGAGTTGTTTTTATTGGTAAGAAAATCTTCCATGCGTCCCTGGTATAGGTGTTGCATCATTCATATTACAGGTGTGTTGTGTGTTGGTTGATTCGATGAACAAAGATTCAGTAATCAATCTATCCCTCTCTCTCTCTCTCTCCACTTAATTATACTGGACTAAGGTAAAGTGGCTTTATCTCACCCAGCATATTGTGTGGTTGTGTTAATACATCCAATGCAATAGCCGAGTTTTTTTTCTAGATTATTGATCTTATTTAGGTCTGTTATTCTATATTCAGCTAAGTTCGTATGTTCGGCTATTCTAACTGACCCCGACCGATTATTATTATTATTATTATTAGTCCCTTGGGTTCCTAGTGGAACATAGAGCTTCAGTAGCACGTCTCCAGTGACCTCTGTTCTCTGAGATCTTTTGAACCTGGTTCCACAACAGTGTACAAGCTCTCATTTCTTCCGCGCACGACCTCCTCCATGTCACCCTCAACTCGGACGCCCAACTCGTCGCTTCCCACGGGGATTTCACTCGAGAGCCTGGCCTGACGCGTGATGTCCCCAGTCGGCCTCCTCAGTGTATGCCCAATCCATCTCCACTTCCTTCCAGTGCATATTTGTTGAGTGATAGGTTCTTGGTTGGTTCGTTCCCAGAGCTCCTTGTTGCTTATTCCTTCTGGCCATCTGATCTTCAGTAGCGAGCCAGCGTAGGTGGCAGTTGCTGATGAATGTCTGTAGTTTGTTGGAAATCACTTTCGTAATGCACCAAGTCTCTCAACCATCACATAGAAGCACTGACTTGACGTTGGTGTTGAAAATCTGGATGTTGTTCACACTTTATGTTGAGTGCAGAAGATCTCCACACTGGTTTCAGGCTAATGAATGCCTGTCTTGCTTTTCCGATTCTGACTTTGACATCCTCGTCTATGCCTGTGTCGCCTGTAGTTGAAACAGTGCTGCCTAGATAGGTGAAGGAGGTTACTTCCTTTAAGTTTCTCCCGTTGATAGTGACTGGAGTTTGTTATTGTTGTTGGTGCGGTATCTTCATCACCTCTGTCTTCTCTATATTCACTTGAAGTCCCGTCTTCGCTGCACTGCCCTGCCTCTTCTATCAACTTGTTAGTTTTCGCCTGTAGATCTTCAAGTTTATGTGACATCAGGCACAAGTCATCACTGGCGAAATCCAAGTCTTCTAGGTTCTTTTCCACAGTCCAACCAGCGTATCCCCCTCTTCTCGCTGCCCACTGTTTGCTGCATGATCCAGTCCACCACAATCAGGAATATCATGGGTGATAGTAGGCAACCTTGTTTCACTCCTCCCTGTCTTCACTTCAAAAGCATCACTGAGCTTCCCTTTGTCAATTATTTGGCATGTGGCATCTTCATATAGTTGTTGAATGAGGCGGATAAAAGTTTGCGGTACTCCGTAGCAATGAAGCAGTTTCCAAATTACTTCTCGGTCGACGCTGTCAAAGGCCTTCTCAAAGTCGATGAAGTTGAGGTAGAGAGCTGATTTCCATTCTATGCTCTGTTCTATGATGATTAGTTTGACGTATATACTGGATCTCACTCTCAGTCATTACATAGAATTCGATAGGTTATATTATTTTGCTTAACTGATTCTATGGGATCCTTAAGCTAGCCGACAAAGTTTATCTCTGAATGAGTTTGTAGGTTTAAATTCCACCGTAATTCCAACTCTGTTGAGGATTCTACATAACGTTTCTGAGATACCCTCCATATGGGGTAATACAATGGAGATGATCAACTTGGCATGAAATAATTTTTCCATCAATCTAAAAAGAAATGTGTAGAAACTAGGTTTTTTTTTTATCTTTCTCTTCTGATGATTACAAATTCACGTTTTCCAGTCATATGATGTTCAAATTATTGTAAAATATTTTGAGGGAGTTGTGGGGATTTGGAAATATTTCAAGTTGTTATTCATTGTAGACTGATATCAGTTGGAGGAACAAAGGAAACCTGGGAGCACTGGACAACTGTTTCGTCCGACTAGTATAAGACTCCTCAGCAGCGCGCAACTACGACCCCATCAGGGATGGAACACGCGACCTTCAGGTTCCGTGGCCATCACGTTATCATTGAGCTAGCCACTGGGTCGGAATCCAATGGTCCATATTTTGGACTTCTGTTAGCCCACGATATAGCGCAATTGCCACCCAATGTCATCTTTGGGCTGACAGAAGTTGGAAATATGGACCATTGGATTCCGACCCAGTGGCTAGCTCAATGATAACGTGATGGCCACGGAACCTGAAGGTCGCGTGTTTCATCCTTGATGGGGTCGTAGTTGCGCACTGCTGAGGAGTCTCATACTAGTCGGACGAAACAGTTGTCCAGTGCTCCCAGGTTTCTTTTGTTCCTCCAACTGATATCAGTCTACAATGAATGACAACTTGAAATATTATATAATATGTTAAAGTTTCACTTACATGTGTTTTGAACGAAATGCTTCAATTTGATAGTAGACGTTTATCACAGTATTCTATGTGTATAAAAATATACCAAAGAAAGTTATAATGAAGTTTTACTTATCAAATGGATTTGCTTTATCTTGATAGCTTATTACTGGATAATTTTGTACTTTTATTATTGTACATTATTAGATATTTGGAAAACAGACAATGTGGGCAACTAGTTCCTCATTTATCACTCTAAATTAATATCTAGCAATCTCAAAATATACAATTACATACCCCGTCTAATTGTGATAATTGTTTCATAATAGCAATTCACTCGGTTATGGCTAGCAGAGGAATCTAAGACGAGCGCTTCGTCCTATTTTAAACTCGTCAGCTGGTTGTATCTGCACTCTAGTGAGGGATGTTTTCCCCATTGAGACTTGAACCTCGTAGCTATTCCTTCAGTATAACAATGGAGAATTACAAGTATGTCAACAAATAATAATAACTAATATCCTTTTGTACAAGAGGTGGCTATCGTACTTCAGTTGACTAGTGGATAACACTCTAGTGTTTGAATCGATGAGTGCCAGGTTTGGGTCTCAGTGGGAACAACACTCACTGGGTCGTAGGTATATCCAGCTGATGAGTCCTAAACGAGACAAAACGTGTTCCCTGAATTCCACTGCCAGCCACAACTTAGTAAGTTATGATGACAAATATTCAGCCAGTATATAGGAATCCCCATAGAAGCCCACATGCCAATAGAGGTAGAATAATCCAATCTGGTTAAACAATGGAGAATTACAAGTATATCAACAAACAGTTCCAAATAGGACGAAATGCACATCCTGGATTCCACTGCTAGCCACTGCCCATCATAACTATACATTAATAATAATAATAATAATAATATAATAATAATATATATAATAATAATAATAATTGCGAACGTTGATGGTCAGGGCAAAAAACAGGCTTTACGGATTTTTTTCTTAACACACAGACTCGACTTGTTCAGGTAGATGATTCCGGCGGCTGCTGTTGTATTTAGAAGATCAACTCCTAGAGTATGCGTGAGACATGAAAGAATGTGATGAAAATAACTTTTAAAGACATTGTGAATATTTAACTTGATAAATTTTGAGAATGCGATATAATATTGTAGATTCATCGATGAGAGACTGATAGGGAAGAAATATTTTTTTGCTCATATTACTTGTTTTATTTTTTGTTTCTTTTTTCGATGAATGTCTACAGTATACGATATCATCTTATAGTTATCTGCCTAATTACTTATTTCAACATTCCACACAAAAATCAACCTCGCCTAGTTAACAAGTTCACTAGTTACTAGCCAGTCCTAAGCCCGGATAAAAACAGAAGGTTGGACATAGGGCTAGCAACTCTACCCCAGAAAATCAATCCAACCGTTACAGAAACTTTAAAGCACAGACAAAATATTAAAAATAAAAACAAACTTATTCCTCGCTGGAATCGGAGAATTGGCCGATATGTCTTCTCACGATAAAAGCGAAAGTAGGGATGGGGACATGGAATGTTCGCACTATGTTTGAACCTAACAAGACAGCCCAGATTGCAAAGGAGATGAGAACGATCGGAAAAACAAGACAGGCGTTCGTTAGCCTGAAACCAGTGTGGAGATCTTCTGCACTCAGCATAAAGTGTGAACACAATACGGATTTTCAACAACAACATCAAATCAGGGCTTCTGTATGGGTGAGACACTTGGTGCGTTACGAAAGTGATTTCCAATAAACTACAGACATTCATCAACAACTGCCACCTACGCTGACTCGATACTGAAGCTCAGAAAGCCAGAAAGAATAAGCAACAAGGAACTCTGGGAATGAACCAACCAACAACCTGTCGCCCAACAAATATGTAGGAGAAAGTGGAGATGGATTGGGCATACACTTAGAAGGCCGACTGGGGACATCACGTGCCAGGCCAGCTGCTCGAGTCGAACCCAGATGGGAAACGACGAGTTTGGCGTCCGAGTTGAGGGTGACATGGAGGAGATGGTGTGAGGAGGAAATGAGAGCTTGTGGGCTGTTGTGGAACCAGGTTCAAAAGATTTCAGAGAAGAGAGTGGAATTGAGACGTGCTACTGAAGCTCTATGTTCCACTAGGAACCCAAAGGACAAATAATAATAATAATAATGCACAAAAATCAGACAGGAAGGAAGTCATCAGCTAATAAACACGAAACAGAATGTTGAAATCAAATAAAGATATTATCATGTTTACACGAATCGATTCGAAAATAGAGATCCACTCAGCAGCCTTGTGCAGTAGGAAATGAGCCACACCTGTTATGTGACCGCTTATGTTACTATCTGGCTGCCTAGACCTCCTCAAGTGAAGCGGTGCTCTAACTGGCAACCCCTGTCGATATTTCTTATGTATGAATACTAATTAACTTAAGTAACTGAGTTTTCAACTCGGTTTTAGGTGATATTCATATACATACACCCATGATAGTTGAACGGAGGTAATCGGCAGCAAGCGATGATCAACCTAGACTTCGTGCTTGTCGGCGCTGGCAGACAAGGAGTATTTCCAACCTCTACGGATCTCATGTTCTGTATTGCTTCTCACTGTATTTTAACAAATATTTAACACAACTTATTGACATGATTAGTCATAAGAATCGTACTTGGTCACGAGAAAAACTTATTTCAATGATGAATGTTGTCTATACGGATAGGACACTGATTTTTGAATCTGACAGGATAACAGGTTGTTATTGTCGCATACAAATATATCACCACTAAATGATCATATCTGTTTATACGGAGTTGTTTTTCATGAATAATCCACACACATAAACACTGTGGATATGTTAAGATGCTCAGACATTTGCATAGAAAGGTGCATATTCTCCTCACTTATTGTACAACTATTGTAGTTTATTGCAAAACAAAATATTTTTATAAGAAATGAAACGAAATGTTAACTAGGTTCTAAAAACAATACAAATTAGTTGTATTGACAGAGGAACAAATAAGATTAAAGTAGAAGCTTGCACGAAAGTGTGTCAGTTCAACTTGTCACATACCACAGTAGCATGAAAAGAACAAGTGACTCATCACCTTGGGGGATTCAACCAGACAGTCTACATCTCCCAACACTAGTCAGACAAAATCATAAACTATTTCCACCAGTGCCACTTCTTGCTCTGGCCCCCCTGAATTCTCTTCAACCCAATCCATTTTTTTCCAGTATTGCACGTTGAGTTAGTTGGTGAGTCAGTCGATGAAAGTTCACAACCTCACCAGTCAACTTGTCTGTTTCACCTAGTTCCCCTTGTCTGTGATTCCACTTATTTTCTTTGGAATTATAAGTGATTCTAAAGGCCATCGTAGTAACTGCACAGTTAACCAATTACGTTTCTTCTATAAAATAACGTAACGTGATTGGTTATTTAATTAGTTGTTAGCATAACCTTTAGAGTCAATATGAATGACCTACCCACCAATTGAAAATTAGATAGATGAATATGTTAGTACTGAATGCACTTAGACTGAATAGAAAAGCCATTCTTATAACGAGAGGAATAACTTATTCCGTCCTTTCATGTCTAAGAAAAAATAATTTTCGAGGCAAAATTAACAAACCTGATTAGTTATTTCAGTAGTTGCTACAGTGGTCAATAAAGTCACTCGTAAATCTATCACTTCATTTTCAAAGCTTCCAACAACCACTTTTAGCATGCACTGTTCACTGGGGCATTATCTACCTCTTACAATTATAACGTATAGAGTAATGAATGTTGAAACCAAATTAGTTTTGAAATTCTGTGGAGGATAAATATACGCTGACAACCTTATCAGTATGTAACAACTCATAGAGATTAGATGTTCAGAAGATTGTGCAGTTTGAATCTGAAAACTTGAACTGGGCTTTCCTGTAGAGCAAAACATATTTCGCCAACTTACGCCATCTGTGCCGTCACCGTGACATCCAATTGTCTATCCAGGGTCGAGTGTACTTTGTGGCAGTCAGCTCTGTTCTACTGTATGCCTGTGAAACATGGTCATTAAAGGAAGAAGACATGAGAAGGCTTCAGGTGTCTGACCACCACTGCTTTTGTAGCACAGGCAGTGTTTTGTGGGTTACCGTGTGAGTAAAGCAGAAGTCATATATAGAGTTTTAGGCAGGAGATGTAAGACTGAGATGACTGGACATGTGTTATGTATGTCTAACCACCGTCTACCTTGTCGCACAATATTGGCCGAAGTAGATTGAGTCTGGAAAAAGGCTGCGGGTGGCCAGACTACAAGATGGCATCAGTGGATGAAGTCCTTGACTGTTGCTTTAAGCGATGCAGGGCAATTCAGACTAGCTGGTTGGTGCCCGCGGGACTATAGAAACCAGTGGTTGGAGATTGTAGGTGATATGACTCAGAACCGATGTCAGTGGCGCAGATGCATACACATATTATCCTCACATTAACCGCTTCACTTAATGTCATTATTTTCTCACTCTTCCTCCTGCTCTTTCACTACTTCCTACTTTCACTTCCTCTGATCGATTTTTCTTCATCTTCCATTTTATTGCCTTGTTATTGATGTGCTGATATGAGGTGTGGCAACTTGAACCATTACTCAGTAATCCCTAGTCCTATGTTGATGTTAATGATGACGAGACACATTAGCATTTGATACTATAACCTGCTCTAACAGCAACACAATACTGAGTATATATATTAAATCACACCTTTCGCTAACCCCCGGCCACTGAAATGACCGAGGAGGTGATAATCCAAGTCATTCTATCGAAATACGTAATATCCCTTATTCATAGCCTCTGCCAAGATATTCCTATTCACTGTCTTCAATTGGTAGGGAATATTTTCACAGAAGTGAGAGGACAACTGCGAACAGTCGACTGTATGACTGGATCGGAATACGCCCAGTGGAGTTAGAAAACTCTGGTTCGAAACCAGCGGTGCATATAGTCCTCATTATCTAGAACGGAGTAGTAGCATGGGAACCTACCTACCTTGGTCACTAACAGTCATTGGAATGCAGCAAATCACATTGCTACCCTGCCTCGAAACAACTGCCTGCTCTAGTCAGACAGTCTGAGTAGTATCACAGCCTGTTATACAATTTATTAATCATCACCACCTATGAAGACTACTAGGCATTTATCAAATCTTGAGAGAGATATCAGTTAGTTGGTGGCAACTGGCAGTAAGCCCTGGGTATATATACCGAGTTTGTCTTCTAAAGAGTTGAGCAGATGACAACCTGTTTCTAGTCAGCTAAAACTTCTGACACGCCTATCTCCATTTTGTAATCTGATGTTCTTCCTCTGCAACTCAAGTGTGGAATCAAGTAGATCATACTACAGTCAGGTACCTATGGGACTGGCGCATTCAGGACTAACACTCCTTCTGAAGCCCCTTTATGGACTCTCATCACACTTTAGCGTGTGCTGAATTAGTATTGCATTTTGGTAGTCATCATAATCATAGTATTGCGACCGAGTAACAATTTCAGCTAGATTCACCATTGGTTAAATAACCTCCAGAAAGCATAGGTGAGCATTAGCTGCACCTAAAAATGACGCTATAGAAACCAAGAATAGAGATGTTTTCAGCTTCGAAGAGGGTTTAATTGTTAAAAATTGTGTCTCTGAGAGTTTTCTGTAACTTCTTTAGGCTCTTCGGTAGATTCTGGCTGGCAACAAACACAATGGTGTGCATAAACCCCTTACGCAACAGATCAGACAGTATTTGCGTAGTGACCATGAGGCCTCTTGGTCGGAACGCGTGAATGATGTGGATGCATCAGCTGCAGATAACAATAGTCCAAAGCTGTTCTAGCTCATCTTAGGCACATGTACCAAGAAATCTAGTCAGTTCGGCGCTACGTTAGGCGGATGATTCACCGATCCCCAACTTTGGTAGACTCCTGGAAAGATGGGTGAGGCTTTTCGGAAATCGGTTCAACTGGTCCATTGCTCCAGCTACTTCGAGCTCCATTTCTTGTGCTCTATGGTCAGCCAACGCCATTCTACTTGACGAGGTGGAAGTCGGTAAGGAAATCTAAGTAATAAAACGCCATAAGGTACCCGGGATGACGATTTACCCATGGATATTTTGAAGAATGGAGGTGAGGGTGTAGTCATGGAACAGACCTCACGGTTTGGGAGGGTATGGCGAACTCAGAGTATTACATCACTGTACTTATCTTTGTAAAAGGTCTACGTAGTGCATGTGATAATTATCGGAGTAGTGGTCTGCTACCTGTAGCCCCTAAAGTGTTAGCTGCCATCGTACTTGGCAAGGCTGTGCAAAACACGTTGGAATTCTATCCATGAGGATCAGGTTGAGTTTCGCTGACAGTTCACTCTTTCTCTTTATATTTCCTTGAGATTCTGCAGACAGATCTGACAGAAGTGCTTGATGGTGTGTTGGATCTGTTACCAGATGACAAACTTTTCGACCTTGGGTACTCGGGAGATGTCGTCTTACCGCTGTCGACCAGCTAGCGATGAGTACTATTAAGAAGGATAGGTTCTTTGCATCATCGAAGTACAAAATGATTTTGTAAGAGTTGCACCAGCCTGTACCTATACTCATCTCCGGTAGTGAACTGCTTGAAGCTCCTGAAAATTTTGTATGTCTAGTGGATATGTGACCGATGAAATTTCCGATCGTATATCGAAAGCCAGTGTTGCATACGCCAACCTAAGCTACATTTGATGCTGTTGTGATGTTAAACTTTCTGTAAAAGTTTGGGTATGCAAAGCTGACGATGTCCGATATCTCCGCGTTGTCGCTGTCGCCACAGGATTGTTTGCATCAGGTAAAAACACCATGTATTGGATTCTGAGGTGAGGTGGAGTGTGTTTGAACATGATGAATATCGTTTGTTGCTGAATATGGTCATCTTGGAACAAAAGCTTCAGTGGCTTGAACATGTGTTACACCTGTCGTCCCAGTGGCTCCTCTAGCACGCACTATTCGCTTGTTCTAGTACTGGTTGGACGAGGTAGAAAGATGGTCAGTCTATGAAGTAGTGAAGTGGAATGAAAGATAATTGTGTTGTGGTTAGTATCTGTAGGTGCTTCACCATTCCCTGGATGGGGTCAATTTACGTCACCATGCAGATGTATTTTAGTGTTCTAACTGTACGATGCAAATACTTTATTTCTTTTATGAATCCCCGTCAACAAGGGCTATCATTCAAATACGCTTCGCTGTTCTCCTTGAGAAAGTCACCTCAAATGCATTCATCGAATTGAGTAAAATCCATTCGGTATTAAACTTCGATTACCTGTAGTCATTAGTAAAAAACACTCATCTATGTGCACTTATTTAAACAGAATCTGTTACTAGTTAAGTTTGATTACGTACTGCTACAAAATTCAATCATAGGCATGTTCCTACAGAATGTATCAGTCATGATTGATGATAAATACCACTTGTTCTCTTTCTGATTGTCTTATGATACTATGTAATGCAAACTGAGCATACTTTGATGCACCAAAAATGATGTACAATACTGAAAACACAAGAGCTCATCTAGCAGATTTGTTCTCATGAGATATTTCTTCAAGAAGGCTTAAGAACTCAAATATCTTTAATATTATACGCGCAACTCTTGTATTCAGCAGACATTTATCACACAAAAATGAAGGATCTTAAAATTGGTACCATTCGTTTCAATTTTTGTAAAAGAAGTATCGCTTGAAAAGTTCAATACTACCTCATCATCATCAATGTCGACATAGGACCAGGCATTACTGCGTAACGGTCCGAGTTGCCACACCTCATATCAGTACATCAAATAAAAAGGTAGTGAGGCGCAAGATGAAGATAAGAAAATTCAGTCGAAAGAAACATAAAGTGCTAAAAGAGAGAAAGGAAGAATGAGAAAGTGGTGAGATTCGGTATGGCGTCAAGATGAAGATAACGTGTGTATGTGTCTGCTCTACTAACTTCGGTTCTCAAGCATGTGATCACCTGCTCTCCAACCACTGGTTTCTCTTGTTCCACGGACCCCAACCGCCTAATCTGCATCGCCCCATATGGTTCAAATCAACAGTTAAAGACTTCATACATTGATGCCATGTTTTTGTCTGGCCACTTTGGACATATTTCCAGTCTGAACCTACTTCGGCCAACATTGTGTGACAAGGGAATCGGTGACCTGGAATACGTAGTACGTGTCCCAACCATCTCACTTGATGAAGGTTCGTTACCTCGTCAACAGATTTACCTCCACTCCTTTAAGACTCTACACCTGACTTGTGGGTTACTCACATGGTGACACCACGGAATACAACCTGTACTACGAAGGCAGCGGTGGTCAAACACCTGAAGCCTTCTCATATCTTCCCCCTTCATTGGCTATGTTTCACAGTCATACAGCAGAACAGACCTGACTGCTATGCAGTACACGTGACCCTTAATAGACAATCGGATATCACGGTGGCACCATAGGTGGCGTAAATCGGCAAAAGCCAATCGAGTCTTTTGTATCCGTGCAGAGATTTCATCGGCCACTCAACCACCAGTCCAGGGTTGATCCAACTTCCCAAGTAAGTGAAGTGCTCGACACAATCACTACACTATTGTTAGCCGTGGCACCGTTGAAGACCAATCTTGGAGCAACAATTTGCATTTGGGTGGTGAGGAACGTATCCCAAACATTCTCAAATCCACTACATATTTTATACTTAATATTGAAAAGCTTAACTCGATTTATTGAATCGAGAAACACCAATGTAGTAACTATGTTGTTGTCATTGGGAGACGGGGTAATTTTCAGATTCTCCACAGTATAGGTTATCATCATATCATACTCTCTACATCTATTATAACTATCAATGACTATGTTAAATAAGTTATCATTGAGACTAAGTCCAACAAGGGTACCTGAACAATGGTAAACAGACTAAAAAGAGTAGCATAAAGTACTCAGTAACGAAATTGTTGTACATTTTGTAAGTCATTAGCTGCTAAGGTAGAAGTTTTCGACTTCAATTTTTATTTCATGTTACTGTGTGGTCAAGAAAAACCTGACTGGACTATTTATCCTACAGTTGGCCAATCAAAATGAGTTACTGAGCTTTTAACTAAGCCGTTTTATATATTCATGAAAACAGTATATAAATGATGTGTTTCTGTTGAATATAGTGGACTTCCCTACAGTCAAAGGCTGATCACCCGGTTATTTCAGATCGCTACCTCCATCGATTACTGTATACAGCTTTCCTAGCAAATAGTTTCAAAATGTTCTCCATTGTCCATTAAAGAAGAATGAATGCAAGATCTGGTGAATTCATATCTGTTAGCTTAAACAAATTCAATTTCTTAATTATAATTTTTTCGACTCAAACACTTAACAGTACTCCATAATAAGTCAAAGGTTAACAAGTGTACTTCATTGTTCATGTTGTTATTTAAAGATTGAAAAAACGTTTCATAGAATATCTCTAAAAATGATTGGTACCTTTTTTTTCTTACCTTTGGTTTTATTCGAGATATTATCAAAGTGAAGTAAACAGATGCTGTAGCTTTTGGTATAGGCGCTCGTCTACATGGTATACTCCATTTTACTCGATATTTATGCTGTACTTCATTTTTCAATTCCACTTTGGGCAAAATATCAATACAATAAAGCCAGTTTTCATTTCTTTCCCAACCCTGTTTTTTTATAAAAAAACAAATTAATGATATTAAGCAACATGTACACTGGAGATGGTTGATTGAAATTCATATCCATGTGGAAGACAATTAGATAAATCTATTACATAAGGATCTCCATGCCTAGACATCGATAAGTCGGGTTAAGTTGAAGCTCATTACCAACCGCTTGAAAATCGAGTGCCTAAACTAGTGAGCCACAATTCAAGCACTGAATTGGTGCAGGTAGAAATCTTATATGAACCAAACCTCATTATTAGTAATATGCAATCAGTACGAGATTAATATCTAAAAACAAGATATTCAGCAAAGAGGACTCTTTTCAACGAATTTATCATCAAGCTGTACATTGGTATATATATATATATATATATATATATATATATATATATATATATATATATATATATATATATATATATATATATATATATATATATATATATATAAATCCGTGATGAAGATCTAACTTGAATAATGGGGTCATTCCTGTTGCATGTGTTAGGTGTTGATTCGGTAAACAAAGATTCAGTTATCAATCTCTCCCTCCACCATGTTATGTTGTTAGTTTTAACAATTTTCACCCTGTCATATCCTATTGTGTGGTTGTGTGTAATCGCATGTATAGCTATGGCTGAGCTTTTTCCTAAATTCCTTACCTTATTAGGAACTACCAATTTTGACCTAGCTAAGTTTTTGTGTTCCGATAGCCTAATTGGCCCTGGTCGACTACTTTGACCCATGTATCCAATTCACCTATGAATTAGAAAATAGCGAAGGAGAATTATCGATGTTGGATTGCCGAATAAAACGGAAACAAGATACGAGTTTAGACACTGGTGTCTACAGAAAACCTTCACATCCAAACCATTACTTAGACTTCAAATCGTCTCACTCTACGTCAGTTAAAGTTGGTTTAGTAAAGTGTCTAAGTAACAGGGCCAAAACACTTGCCAGTAAGTCAAAACAAGAAACCAGATACACCAAAGACGCCTTAATCATCAACAATTACCCTCCCAAATTAATTGATAAGCTCCTTAGGAATTGTAAGAAAAATATCAGTAACACAGTTATTAATAGTAGTAATAACAGCAAGAATAACAGCAATAATAGTGTTGATAATGATGTTAATAATAGTAGTGGCAATACTGAGAATAGAGAATTCATAACCTCCACAGTATTACCATACAAAGAAGGCACCTCAGAAACACTATGTAGAATTCTCAATAAGGCTAGCTGGGATTTGAGTGGCATTTAAACCTACAGACTCACTTCGAAATAAGCTTTGTAGGTTTAAAGATCCTATTGAGTCAAGTAGGCGAAATAATTTAGTTCACCAAATCCCTTGCAATAATTGCGAGTTCAAATACATAGGTCAAAGTAGTCGACCAGGGTCAATTAGGCTATCCGGATACAAAAACTTAGCTAGGTCGGAGTAGGTAGATCATAGTAAGGTAAGGAATTTAGAAAAAAGCTCAGTCATGGCTATTCATGCAATTACACACAACCACACAATAGGATGGGACAGGATGAAAATTCTTAAAACTAACAACATAACAGGGTGGAGGGAGAGATTGATAACTGAATCTTTGTTTATCGAATCAACACCTAACACATGCAACAGGAATGACTCAGCACCTGTTCCGGATATATGGAAAATCTTACTACCCATCTCACGAAGATAGGCGAGGAAATTAGGACTATATAACGGATATCTCAAAGTTGTGTAGTTATCTTGATATAATGACTGTGGACAATAAATTATGTCCGAAACGTAATCCAGTAAACAATGCTACTACACTGTGTGATAAATCTAATAAAACAATAAAAATGGAATTTTGAGGGGTTGTGGAGATTTGGAATTATTTCAAGTTGTTATTCATCGAAGACTGACATCAGTTGGAGGAACAAAGGAAATCTGGGAGCACTGGACAGCTGTTTCGTCCTAGTATGGGACTCCTCACCAGTGCGCACTCACGACCCCACCAGCAGGGATCGAACCCGCGACCTTCAGGTTCCGCGACCAGCGCTGAGGAGTCCCATACTAGTCGGACGAAACAGCTGTCCAGTGCTCCCAGGTTTCCTTTGTTCCTCCAACTGATGTCAGTCTTCGATGAATAACAACTTGAAAAAATGGAATTACATTCTACCACAGTGCACAAGTTTTATTTTTATATTCATTAAATAGTAGGGGGTTGGAACAATCATAATGCTGGTGATAATTATAATGTTGCTAGTTGATGATGTAAAGGTCGAATGAAAACAAAAAGGGGTTACGTAAGGTTTTTAAATCGTTTGTAAGGTACATATTACATTAAAAAGTGTGAGGAAGTTAATAAACAAACAAGGGATTAGGTAGAATTTTGAGGAAGTTGTGGAGATTCTGAAATATTTCAAGTTGTTATTCATCGTAGACTGACATCAACTGGAGGGACAAAGGAAACCTAGGAGCATACTAGACGAAACAGCTGTCCCAGGTTTCCTTTGTTCCTCCAGCTCATGTCAGTCTACGATAAATAACAACTTGAAAGTATTAGGTAATTTAAGTGAGATAAGTTAATTTGAGTAAATTGAAAATGTTTTGTTGAAAGTTGAGATTATTAGGAAGATCAAATGAAATAACACCGGAAACAAATAAATACAAAAAACAGGGTGATCATGACAAAAAGGGGAAGGGAGCGAACAATTAAAAAAGAGGACGAATCGCACCAAGACTAAAATAAATTTAGGCCAAGGTAGAGACAAAGACCACACATACTTCTCTTGCACACAAAGATCAGGCTTCAGTTCATGGATAGCCAAGGCCTCTGCTATTTTTAGAAACTGAACACGGAGGAAACTTGAGGTGTTTGAGCGAATTCGATAGACAACCTTGAAATCCTCGTTGGGATCGGTTGAATGGTTGGAATCGACTAAATGCTCAAGGATAGAACTTCTGATACATTTCCTTTTACTCTTAAAAAAACAGGCTGGAATATGTTCTCGTATACGTGTTGACAGCAATCTCTGACTACAGTCGATGTACCTTGCTACACAGGAGCAGGTGAACTGGTAGATACACATGGATATGGGCCTATCGAGGGATATTGTCTTTTATACAAATACAGAACAATTTAAAACTGGTAAAGATCAAGTGAAGTTTTACTGAGAAAACAGTCCTACTAATTGATCTGAGAAGATGATTTCTCAGGATATCTGATGCTGCATCACCTTTGAAGTCCACATATTCAGTTAAATAAAATTTACGATACTATTTGATGTAAGTATTACAACAACAACATAATACAATCATTCTACTATAATACTGATCAAGGTAGCTTTGATTTCTCTTCAAAACATAGGAAACTTTGTTCATTACTTACTTTGATATATTCTTCAATTTTTTTTCGTCCTAATTCAGGTGTAAACTCTGCAATAGTAGGCCATTGTATATTAGGAGATGGATGAGGATTATCTGAGAGAATAATTTTGGCTGTAATTTCTTCTGTAGTCTCATTTTGATGATGTAATCTTTCCCAGCTACCAGGAATTTCATCTAAGGAAGATGTTTCATAAATGCTTTCAGTGTCATCAGCTTGAATACTGTAATATGGTAAAAAATTAAATACAAGGTAATTAAGTTTCAACTTCTTACCAAGTAACATCAGACAAACAAAATCGAAGCAGAATCTTATACACAAGTCCATCAGTTCAAGTTGCCACAATTCATAGTAGTAAACAAACATTCAACCTGTAGAAGATGTCAAGAAGTGATTACATCTGTGCGATTGTCACTGATTTTCAGCTGTGTCACCAAGAGTCAGTCCTCAACCACGAATTCCTATTGTCTCCGTAATCTCAACCAAGTAGTCGACAATTGCCTGGACACGGCTCAGACCAACAGTCAGGAGCTTCATGAGGCCATGTATTGATCTGGCTTCCTCTAGTATGGCGCGTAGAAGTGGGCCATGGCTTGGCATGCACAGAACATGTCAAAGCCATAATCAACTTGTCTAACTTACCTAGTACCCTTCTCATGACCTCATCAAATGCAAATGATGCTAGGAATTCACCTGTGATAAAAACTTTGTAATCGCTTCATATTTTCTACTGTCTGACAGGTATATAACAGGATAGAACGGTCTACAGCGCAGTATACTCCTCCTTTTATAGATAGTCGAACCTCTTGGCAGTCGTTGCCATAGATGATGCAAGTTAGCAAATGTCAAACAGGCCTTCTGTATACAAGCTGAGATTTCAACAGCAGCCAGCCCATTTGAGCTGATTCTATGTACTTTTATTTCATACTAAGGATTTAGAGTGAAACCATAGTCATAGTCAACAAGAAAATGATAAACACCTAATTGGTCTTAGTGTGAGTGATTATTTTATGAATGATTATTTGTCCCTTGGGTTCCTAGCAGAACATAGGTCTTCAGTAGCACGTCTTCAGTGCATTCTGTTCTCTGCAATCTCTTGAACCTGGCTCCACAACAGCCCAGAAGCTCTCATTTCCTCCTCACACCATCTCCTCCATGTCACCCTCACCTCGGACGCTCAACTCGTCGTTTCCCATTTGGGTTCCACTCGAGAAATTGGTCTGGCCTGCTGCTTGATGTCTCCAATCGGCCTTCCCAGTGTATGCCCAGTCCATCTCCACTTCCTTACAGTGTATATTTGTTGAATGATAAGTTCTTGGTTGGTTCGTTGACAGCCAGCCACAGTTCCTAGTTGCTTATTCTTATTATTCTAGCCATCTGATCTATGTTCAGTAACGAGCCAGCGTAGGCGGCAGCTGTTCATCAATGTCTGTAGTTTGTTGGAAATCACTTTCGTAACGCACCAAGTCTCTCAACCATCACATGGAAACACTGACTTGACTGAATTGGTGTTGAAAATCCGAATCTTGTTCACGCTCTATGCGGAATGCAGATCTCCACACTGGTTTCAGGTTAATGAAAGCCTGTCTTGCTTTTCCAATCCTGACTGCTTTGACGTCCTCCTCTGTGCTGCCTGTAGTTGAAACGATACCGCCTTGCCTAGGTAGATGAAAGAGGCTACTTCCTTTAAGTTTCTCCCATTGATGGTGATTGCAGCTTGTTGTTGTTGGTGTTGGTGGCGTTGGTCGGTTATCATCATCACCTCTGTCTTCTCTACGTTTACTTGAAATCCCGTCTTCGCTGCCCTACCTCTTCTTTCAACTTGTTAGTTTTCGACTGTAGATCTTCAAGTTTGTGTGACATCAGACTTGTGTCTAATTTACTCGATCATTACTTATATTTATGTATGCGATTATATTGAAGTAAACTTCTGTTTTACAATCTCACACTGTCGGACAACATTAACGTTTCCTTTCAATAAATTCATCAAAATAACCCTATAATTGTCTGTATTGTCTCATTGTTGAGTTTTTACATGAAGTAACTCATTTAATTTGTGAAACAATAATAAATTTTACTGGGTGATGATTGAAAGTGAGATGAAAATATGGACCGTAGCCAGATTCGAACCAGCGACCACCGGGTTGATTGGCCAATTATCCCCTAGTACAAATACCAGTCTGCTAAACTACGGCTATCTTAGATAGTCAAATGATAAAAAATTTTACGTTGATTTGATGCCAAATGATAGTTATTTGATTTTAGCTGTGAATAAACTTTTCTATTCAACATATATAATTATAGTTTTAAGTTGATGGGAATTTTATTCTTAAGGTAATATTCACCACAGACTGACATCAATTGAAGAACCATTGAAAATCTGTGACTGAATGGTCAATGCATTCAATAAGAGAATTTAAAGTTCAGAGTTCAATCCCTGGTGAGTTCATGGGTGTATACTGCTTAGACGTCCTATACTAGAATAAAACAGTTGTTCAGTGCTCCAAGGTTATCAATGTTTCTCCAACTGATGTCAGTCCATAATGAATACTACTTTAAAAAATATGTGACTAAGTCAACGGTCGATTATTTCCACTTATCTATATCTGTCTGTTTGAAATCATATGTATTCTTTTCAGTACTGACAATCACTTGAAGGTAAAATTTTAGCTAGCGTTAAGATAATGGAGAGTACTTCTAGCTGAGGAGGATGTTTGTGAATGTCTTCTATCCTGTGAGCTGGATGGTATAATGGTGAAGCTTATATTGTTATTCTAGACAGCATCATCAGTAAAAAACTGAAGAAAGAAGTAACCTGTGAGATTCTTCCCAAGTGTAGCTTATCCTAAACAATCACACCCAAAGTCATTTTAGACAAGCTACTAAACTGCTTGTGAAGAAAATCTCATAACTTACTTCTTTCTCAAGTTTCTACTGATGGTATTGTCTAGAATGATATTAAAAGCGTCAAAATTAAACCATCCAGCTAAGAGAACACAACATCATGGAAATAGCCAACTTTACAACCAAGTGGATAGGTAGAGAGAGGTTAAATTGGTTGAATGATAAAGGCAAAGCGAAGATAAGTTAGGTTATGATCATTTTAATAGAACTTTCCTAAACTTCTCCCTGTTTACTTAAAATGGAAGGCTAATGTAACCATTCGTTTAAGACTGAAGCGGATAAATATCATGTTCTATACAGTACTGGTTGATTATTCAAGATGTATGATAGGCTTACTACATTGTGAACTAATGTTTTCAAGGTAATATCGCGTTATGTTTCGGAAACTGTTATGTGCTGTAATCACTAAGGATGCATGGATATCGAGTGTTAGCCACCAAGCTTCAACAAATTCTTAGGTAATTCTCGACCCAACCAATTAGTGAAGACACCACGTACTGGGGTCGAAAGACCGAAGATCAAAATGAAGGAAAGCCTGATGGTCGTGAGGACAGTTACTCAACGATGATATTAGGTGGCTTTCGCGTTATGTCGTGAACTGACAGAAGTTAGAAATATAGGCCATTGGATTCCGCCGAACCAGTGGCTCAATGGTAACATGCTGGCCACGGAACCTGAAGGTGGCTGGTTCGGTCTTTGGTGGAGTCGTGGGTGCGCACTGCTGAGAAGTCCCATACTAGGACGGAACAGCTTTCCAGTGCTCCCATGTTTCCTTTGTTCCTCCAACTGATATCAGTCTACGATGAATAACAACTTGAAAGGAAAATGCAGCTAATATACATATAGTTCGCTGTTTAAAATGATCCTATTGACTGGCTGATCCACCGTCTGTCTGTCTAACTATAGAAGTGATAACATAAAATACATTTTGATTGGTCCGTCGCCAGAATAGTCTTTTTCTCTATCGATATAGCAGCTCCATCTTTGAAAGAATGTTGTTTTGGGTCAAAATGAACCGCATTGTCTTTTTCTTGCACCTATCTGACCGACATAGAGGGAGTTTCTCCTTGTTTATCAGAGGATATTCTTTCGGCAGATAGATGCATGAGCATGAAAATCAGCTATCAAGTCAAGAGATTTACCTACCGGTCGAGAATGAGATTTGCGGTCATATCTGGAGGATGACCTTTGTACAAGTCGTTGTGTGTGTTGGCAGGAAAAACCATCTTTATGTCCCCCAGTATTGCAGTCCCGACATCTATGTAATTCATGTGGATAAGATTTGACGAAATGCCAGGCACCATGATGCCACCAAGGCAATGCGGGGGGGGGTCTTCCGTGAGGGTCGGTTGGTATCAAATGAATTACCGGGCCAATGAGCAGGGGAGATGGGGCCAGGTTGTGTATGGCCAGAAGGCGATACAGAGGAATGAGATGTCTGGAGAACTGTATGTACTTCAGAACCACCCTGGTGTCCGGATTGAGCTAAACTAGCATCACGCTACAGGTTGACCAGTCGTTGATATTCTGCAGACATAACATTTAGCATCTGGACCGTGGCGTCGAAAGTGCAATCACGTGGGTTCTGCGGTAAAATCATGTTACAGTATTGGTCGAGCTCGGTAGGGTCAAGCCTTTGAAGTAGGAGACGTACTGTCCAGGAATCATCTTAGCCATCAAAATCCATTTTGACGTATTCTTCATAAATCCTGAACCAAACACTGTAAGTCTCATTGTCATCAGGATTGTGGTGAAATTCAGTGATGCTATTGGCGATGCCGTCAACTGAAGTATTAAAACTGGCGTAGTAGACGATGCTTCATTAACAGAAATTCTGGATTGTGGAAGTATCTCGATAATCCACATTTGTTTCTTGAGGAATTTGTCCAACTTCAAAGAGTCCATTTCTGAATATCCTATTCCCGGTGCCACTGTTATGGTTTGGAAACTGCTGTTTGCTATGGCCATTAACGATGCACGGAAATCGACTGTCAGCTGCCAACATTCAATATATCGCAGAAAAGTATCTATGTAGAGGGCCAAAATCTATGCTTAAGTCTTTCCACCAAAAAGCATAAACGTAGTGTTACGGTATCAAACGAAAAAGCTTACACAAATCGACTTTCGAGCTGTCAAGTCGTATCTAGTATGAAAAGTGGTTGTTGAATCAGAAATTCAGCTGCATAATTTGTTTATTACTACTGTTTATGCACCTAAAAGTACATCTGTGACTCCTTTTATCCAGGTGGAACAAATCAAAATGACTCATTTAACTGTCCATCCTTTAATCAAACTATTGGATTTAGAATCATGAAGGCT